TCCCCCAGTGCTGCGCCTGGGGGGCTCGGCCGAGGCGCTGGGGGGGGCCCAGCGCTCACTGCACCTCCCTGACCCCGTGCTGAGGTTCTGCCTCACCCTGTCCCACCTGAACCGCGCCCTGTTCCTCGCCTGCGACAACGTCCTGTGGGCCGGCAAGAGCGGGGTCCTGCCCGGCCTCGACACGCACAAGTGGAGCCAGAGGTCCTTCAGGTGAGCTGGGGGAATGGAGAGGGTGGAAAAGCCTTCCCAGGCCTGTCAGGGGGATGGGGGATTCCCTGGGGAGAGCAGGGGGTGGGATTCTCAAAGGGGATGGGATTCCCTGGGGGGAGCAGGGAGTGGGATTTTCAGAGGGGATGGGATTCCCGTGGGAGAGCAGGGAATAGGATTCTCAGAGGGGATGGGATTCTCAGAGGGGATGGGATTCCCTGGGGAGAGCAGGAGGTGGGATTCCCTTGGCAGAGCAGGGGGTGGGATTCTCAAAGGGGATGGGATTCCCTGGGGGCAGAGCAGGGGTTGGGATTCCCTTGGCAGAGCAGGGGATGGGGGATTCCCTTGGCAGAGCAGGGGATGGGATTCCCTGGGGGGAGCTGGGGATGGGATTCTCAAAGGGGATGGGATTCTCAAAGGGTTTGGGATTCCCTTGGCAGAGCAGGAGTTGGGATTCCCTTGGCAGAACAGGGGATGGGATTCCCTTGGCAGAGCAGGGGGTGGGGGATTCCCTTGGCAGAGCAGGGGGTGGGATTCCCTTGGCAGAGCAGGGGATGGGGGATTCCCTTGGCAGAGCAGGGGGTGGGGGATTCCCTTGGCAGAGCAAGGGTTGGGATTCCCTGGGGGCAGAGCAGCTTCAGCCATTCCATTCGGAGCGGCCGGAGTCTCCTGCTGGCGTTCCCACTGTCCCCCCCTGTCCCATTGTCCCCCCCAGGTATTACCTGTTTGCCCTGGTGGTGAACCTGAGCCGGGACGCCTACGAGCTGCGGGTGCTGCTGGAGCGCGCCGAGGGGGCCGGGAGGCGCGGGAAGAGCCCGGAGAAGCTGCCCCAGCCCCAGCCCGACGGGGCTGGGGGGATCCAGCGGCTCCGGCTGCGGCTGCAGCTCCAGCTCCGGCTGCTGCTGCGGGTGCTCCGGGACAACCCCCCGCTGCTGCTGGACCTGCTGAGGAACGCCTGCGACCTGGTGATCCCGCTGGACAGGCTGGGGCTGTGGCGGAGCGGCCCGGCCTTGGTGGGGCTGTGCGGCCTGGCCTCGTCCGTGCTCTCCATCCTCACCATCCTCCACCCCTGGCTCAAGCTGAAGCCGTAGCCGTGCCGGGAGCTTCCCCTGGGACTGGCTGGGAAATCCCTGGAGCCCGTCACGTTCCCGTCGTTCCTGGAGCCACGTCCCGAAATTTGCCCCTTCCTGTCGACTTTTCCGGCCGTTCCCAGGGGGAATGTTTGGGGCTGGAACAGCTGGATCGCCAAGGGCTCCCTCAGCGGATTCCTTGTGTGGGACTGGGATGATCCTCAGTGCCAGCTGGTTGATCCCACCCCCACTGGGACAATTTTCCTGCTTTTTAAGAAATCCGAGGGACGGGGAGAGGGGAACGGGAAGGACTTTGGAGGCGCGTGGGCGTCAGGCTTAGCAAATCCATGGATTTGGGGTGAAGTCCAGGCAGGAATTTGCCTTCCTGCACCTTCTCCTCCATACCAGAGGGAAGGAGGGACTGAGCTGGGGGCAGGGGGGTGACTCCCAGCATTCCCACATTCCCAGCAGAGGGGGGACTCAGCATCCCTGGTGCTTCCCGGCCACTGGGGAGGAGCCGAATCCTGCGGATCCACCTCCCTCCCTGTGCCTGGAGCCGCCCAGGCTGCCCTGCCTCTCCCAGATATCCCGCTCCGGGGCGGTATTTGGGATACCGGGGGCGGGGCTGGGATTCCCTGCTCCCGTTTTCCCTGGATTTTGTGACGCCGGGTTGCGCTCCCGTGGCCCTGACCCAGCTGTGATGTCCGGTTACCAAACCGCGCTGGGAGCTGGGAATTCTTTAATTCCAGAGGCGGGATGTCCTTGGATCCATCCCCGGGAGAGCAGGAACATCCCTTGGAAGGGTTTTTGGGAACTCCTTTCCCAAATTCCGCCCTCTCCTGGGAAAAGCAGGGACTGAAGGTCCCGGAGCCGCGTTTATCCCGGGGGGATTCGGGATGGGCAGGATGCCCATCGGTGTAATTAATGAACTCATTAAATTATTAAAGCCCCGCGGCCTCCCCGGCTCCCTCTCTCCTGGAATGCTGGGGGAACTGGGAATGCTGGGGGAACTGGGAATGCTGGGCTGGGACACCCCCCTGGAGTCAGGGGGGGCTCATTCCAGGGGCCGTTTCCAGGGGATTGCAGGGGGGGAGGGATCCCAATCCCCTTTGGGATGGAGGGGCAGGGGGGGCCCATCCGTGGCCGCAGTCGGGGCCGCACAGTCGCCCTTTGTGTGGGTTTTAATCCTCCTTTCCTGTTTTTTTTTCCCTTTCCCCGAAAATTCCAGCCCATCCCGCAGGCAGCACAAGTTTCCCTCTGTCCCAAAATCCCGGAGTTGGAATTCTTTTCCCTCTTTTTTTTTTAAATTTTTATTTAACCCAAACCCACCCAAAATCTCCGTGAGGAGCCAAGGAGGGAGGGCCCCCCCGATCCATTTGCTGATACCTGGGATCCAGTCTCTGGGATCTGGTCTCGGATCCCTGGGATTCAATCCCCCAACCTCTTTCCCACCGTGGTCTGGGAATCCCTGATCTCGCAGGGATCCTGTCCCCAGTCCCCTCAGGATCTCATCCTCAATCCTATTGCAATCCAGCCAGGATCCAGTCCCTGATTCACATGGAATCCACCCCCCACTCCCTGA